GCATATTGCGCTGATTAGCCAATGGGAGGCGTAGCGAAGGTATGGTCAATTACCATGTTTGTCTGTTATTAGATAGGATAGTGCAATATCACAACCGTGCAATCCATGGGTCTTATTCTGACTTCACCAGTTTTATATATGTACTCATCTGGTGTGTGTGTGTGTGTGTGTGTGTGTGTGTGTGTATTTCATTCTATATAATTTTATCACATATTTAGGTTAGACAGTCAAGATACAGAATTCCATTGCACTTTTTGCTTTTAGGACATCTTGTGTTTTCTTTTTGTAACCACGCCAATCTTCCTCCTGCCTCTTATGCTCCCTTCCCCCTCCAGTCTCTAACTCTTGGCAACTACTAATCTGTTCTCCAATTTCTAAAACTTTGTCATTTCAAAAATGTTTTCTGAATCGCATCATACAGTATATAAAGTTTTGGGATTGGCTTTTTTCCACTTGGTGAAATTCATCCAAGTGTTGCAGCAAGTCAAGATTTTATTCTTTTTTTATGGCTGAGTAGTATTCCATGGTGTGGGTGTACCACAATCTGTTTAACCATTTACCCATTGACCAAAAGCTGGGTTGTTTCCAGGTTTTGGGTATTCTGAATAAAGCTGCTTTGAACATTTGTAGACAGGTTTTTATGAGCATAAGTTTTTAAATTTGTGGGATAAATGCCCAGCGGTACAATTGCTGGGTTATATGATACCTATATGCTTAGTTCTGTAAGAAACTGCCAAACTATTTTTGAGAGCGGTTGTTCCATTGTGCATTCCTACCAGCAATATTTGATTGGTCTGTTATCTCCACATCCTTGGCAGCATTGGGTGTTGTTAGTATTTTTTATTTTGTCTGTTCTGATAGATGTGCAGTGATACCTCATTATATTTATATCTTATTATTATTTTAATTTGCATTTCTCTAATGGCTGATAATGTTGAACATCTTTTCATATGCTTATTTCCATCTGTATATCCTCTTAGGTGAAATGATTGTCATGTCTTTTTACTATTTTCTTTTTTTTTTATTAGCATAGTAATAGAAACTTCAAAAGGAAAGTTAATCACAGTAGATCCTAATCCTTAAAATAGAAAGCAGAAGTAAGAAGAGGATGCTATTTACAACCACAGTCTTCTGTATCTCTGAACAGTACAGAAAGATTCCAAAAGAAAGATTAAGATGGCTGACTGTTGATTATATTCTAATTGGGTTATTTTTTACTGTTGAGTTAAAATTAAAAAAAGAAAACTTTAAACCTTTATTGAAGTATAACTCAGATACCATATAGTTCACAGTGGTATGTGGATTATATCTAAATAAAGTGTACAGTTCAGTTGAATATTCACAGAATTATGCAACTATCACCACTATCTAACTCCAGAACATTCCCATCAACCCCAAAGAAAGTCCACATTCATTAGCAGTCACTCTCCATCACCACTCTCTTACCTCCTGGTAACCACCAATCGACTTTCTGTCTCTATGGGTTTCCTGGTCTGGACATTCCATATAAACGGAATCATGACATGCGGCCTTTTGTGTCTGGCGTCTGTCACTTAACATAATGTTTTCGAGATTCATCCATGTTGTAGCATGAGTCAGCACTTTACGCCTTTTTATGGCTGAAGGATATTCCATCGTATGGACGTACCACATGTTGTTTATTCATTTGTCAGCTGATGGGCATTGCAGCTGTTTCCATTTGGGGGCTTTTATGAAGAATGCTGCTATTAACGTTCCAAGTTTGTGTGTAGACTTGTGTTTTTATGTCTCTTCGATATATCCTTAGGAGTGGAATTGTGGGTCTTATGGTGACGCTCTGTTCAGCCTTTTGAGGAACTGCCAGACTTTCCAAAGTGACAGTGCCATGTATATTCCCCCAGCAGCGTATGTGGATTCTGATCTTTCTACATCCTCACCAACACTTGCCTTTCTTTTTGATTTAGCCACCAGTGCATGTAAAGTAGTATCTTCTTGTGGTTTTGGTTACTATTGAGTTTTAAGGGTTCTTTGTATATTCCAGGTAGGAGACCTTGGTCAGAGGTCCAGCCATCAGTTTTCACTTACGGATTGGTTTTTGGCGCCCTGTCTAAGAGCTCTTTGCTTCAGCTTTGTTTTTTGGTGTATGGGAGGACGCTCGATGAACGGAGCCCCACCAGCCAGGGCTTTTTAGCTTTGCTTTTTGTACCGACCAGCAGCTTGTGTTTGAAGAGAAAGTCCTCATTAACCAGCCCCCCACATCCAGGTCTGTGAGTGAGCCCCAGTCCTTCCTCCAGGCAAGGACAGAGCCACTGGATGGCGATTGTGGTGGGGGGCGGGGAGAAAGAGAGAAAGGGACCAGTAACTGGACAACCACGTTCCTTCCTTTGGCACCAAGAAGGCTCTTTCTAACCCCTGCCCCTGGCCTGTTTGTCTTCCAGACCCTGGAGGAGGAGCTGTTTGGGAACAACGAGGAGAGCCCAGCTTTCAGGGAGTTCTTGGACCTGCTGGGGGACACCATCACCCTGCAGGACTTCAAAGGGTAGGTGCTAGCCGCGTGATGGCTCCAGCCCCACGGATGAGGACTTGGAGGAAGGGCAAGGGGCGACAGCTGAGTTTCAGGGAGGGCACGTGAGACTTAAAAACATACACAAGAGCCCAGCTGGTGTGGCTCAGCGGTTGAGCATCGACCTATGAACCAGGAGGTCACAGTTTGATTCCCGGTCAGGGTGCATGGCCGGGTTGCGGGCTTGATGCAGGAGGCGGTCGATCAATGATTCTCTCTCATCATTGATGTTTCTATCTCTCCCTCTCTCTTGCTCTCTGAAATCAATAAAAATATATAACCCCCCCCCCCCCCCCCAACCGGAAAAGCGAGGTTGTTTTTCAGCAAGGGATCAAAACTCCTTTCCAATCGGACAGGAGTCCAGGCATAATCGAGGACGGCAGGGTATCTGAAAGGCGTTGACACCGGCCTTAGGACGCTTGATGAAACTGCTCCCGCTCAGATGCGACTTCCTAATTACATTTGGCTCAGACGGAAGCTTAATGTAATCCACCTTCCCTATCACTCACCTGCCAGCATTCAGGGGAAGCGGGGCCCTGTGCTGTTTGGGGGGAGATGATCCATTTTTAGATCATACACAGGAAGAATGGATGGCTAAGAGTTGGTAGAAATACAGTAGCCCACACCCCCAGCCCCCCCCTCCCCCCGGCAGGAATCTCTGCAACCGTCCCTGGTTCTCCAAGTGGACAGAAAGAATATGGGAGCTATTGCTTGGAAAACTCTGGCCTTTGGTTTTCCTTGGCAAAGGCCACCTTTGGGAGGGGCCTTCAGACCTGGCCGGACTGTGCCGTGCGTCACGGCCGGCAGTGGCAGACCCCGAATTCCCCACTCCATCAGCCACGGTAATAGGATCTCCCAACGTGTGTGAGAACCCCAGGCCCGTCAGGCAGTAGGTGTTCTGGAATCCCTGGTGTTCTTCCTCTGCTTCCTTCTCTCCTCTTCCTTCCCCTTCCCCTCTCCCTCCATCCTCCTATCCTTCAAGGTCGTCACTGCCCGGCCTCAGTCTCACATGGGTTACAGTTCCGCCTCCATTGCTTGGTAGCTCTATGACTTTGGACACGTGACTTAACCTCTGTGAGCCTCAGTTTCCTCACCTGTAGAAGGGAGGTAGACTGTGCTGAGTCCACAGGCTGCTGGGGGTTAAGGCAGATCATCCCGTGGAGCACGTGAGCTGGTGCTGAGCACAGAGAACGCACCACCTCCACTGACCCTGAGGTGCCATCTTTGTAAGGTGCGTCCAGATTTCACAGCTCGTAAAATGTGAAAGGATGTGTCTTGAATAGATGCAATAAAGGCTGTTAAAACCAGGGAGGACCCTAGAGGTCATGTAGTCCTATCCCTCTCCTTTTTAAATTTACTTATTTATTTATTTCTG